TAGGGGGTGCGCTGGGAGCATTAACGTGGGGAAGGGTAGGGAAGGTGGCCTATCCTGTCAGGACAACCACCGGCTGCCGCTGCCAGCAATCACTGTGGGTCTAGTCCTTGGCCTCAACAACACAATGGGCTTAAAAAAAAAAAAAAAAAAAAAAAAAACGGGGGGGAAACGGACCGGTCCGGTTCCGGTTGGGAGAGGTCCTACCGGGTTTTTAGCACTGATTTTCCGGTTTTTAATTTTAAACTCCCGTTTGGCTCAGACTTTGAACATGACTCCAAGGCAAAAGTTGCTTGTATTGTTGTTTTACATGACACATTTTTTAATATTTTTCTGAGACTTGTTTTTTTTTTTTTGCTTTTTAATATTTTTTTAACGTTCGCATTCGGAGGGAGTGTTTTGGGTGCTAGTTCGCATTCGGGCGAACATGTTCGGGTCTCGCCTCCAAACGTGAACATGATGTTACACAGGCAGGGAGACAGAACCAAGCACAACCACGAGGCGGTGAGAAGCATGTCATGCTGATCCAGACATTTGAACACTTGCATACATATCTCAACCAGTGACAAGGTAATTATAACCAAGTACAAGAGCAGACCATTTCATTATTGTTATAGCATTACGGACCCGTATCGCACAGAGCAAACAACAGAGTTACTGAAACGAGACATACCTGGCCATGTAGGAGTTCGAGCTGCCCCTCGAGTGCTGATGCTGGTTCATCTGTTGCACTGATCGATACCAGATAGAGCGGACCTTTTACAAGGAAAACAACCTGCAATTCAGATGGTCATTTCTCCATCGGTCAGCCGGTGCATTTCCACCTACGGTAACCTTTCTGACCCTTTTTTCACTTACCCTAATTCCTGGTGCAATTCGATACCCTAAGTCCTTCGCGGCATTCAATTTGTTAGAGAAATGGGATGCAAAGTTTGTCAAACACATGGTAAACAAAGTATCTTTCAAGTTTCAATACTTACGATCGACTCTGAAAGTGCAAGCAGCTACGCAGATGTCTCTCCAACAAGGGAGCAGATTGTTCAGTTGGCATAAAGGTTACAGGAGGTGCACAACCAACAATGACTCAAACACTCCAAAGTCGATTCAGTGCTGCTCCTTTTCACTCTTCTTTCACAGAATGACAAAGCACACAATGTAAGCGCTTGCGCCCAGGTCACATACACCCCCAATTGCACAGGCCAGCACCAGGCTTTCGTTATTTTCTGTAGTTGTGGTCATGTGGGAGAATTTGTCCTGTTTGTGCGCCACGCTGACCGTTTGCTCGCCAGAAGTGCCCTTCCATATCAGCCTGTGATCTAGGCCATTCGCACAACGGGCAGTGCTGATTGGAGCCCAATAGTTCAGATCCGACCCACGATCTGAGTCGTTCGACTTTTGATAGGGCCAGATTGCAGGCCGATCACAAAAAATCTATACCAGCCCACAACCTAGAATCGCAGATGTTAACAGCACGAGATCATGGGCCGTCGGCAATCAGTCTGTTATCTGGGCCATTCGTTATCAGCCTGTGATCTGGGCCATTCGCGTGCTCGAAGGCAAATGGCCTAGATGGTACCTGTGATCTGGGCCATTCGCGTGCTCGAAGGCCATTCCTTTTTGCACTTTACGCCAACTGAACAATCCGCTCCCTCATTGCATTAGACATTAAATACGGAAAAAAAAAAAAAAAAAAAAGACTTTAAATACGAACCTAACAGAATAAACAAGATTTAAAATTGGCGCACTCACTGAGATCCATTTCTACAGAGATAACATCAAATCTCCTGCCAAGAAAATTGAATCCCAAACTGTGCACATCAGACTGGACGAATATAAACCATCATTCAGTCCAGTGTAGTACACACCAGTACACCAATTCAGTGCTAATCTGCTATGTAAATATCCTTCCTAACATCAATTTCTTCTCCATGGGATGAAGAGATGAAAAGGCATATGCTACAGCATGAACCCTGTATATAACCTATCTAGTCTGTGCTCTTCTTCATGTTTGCATTTCGGCCAAGGCCACAATGCGTGATGTGGTAACTATTTCCTTTTGAAAACGTTCTTGCCGCAATTGCTTCATTTTGAAACATTTTTAAATGGTTCACGCCCACACAGCTTCTGGGCTCAAGGACACTCATGATGAAGACTCCCGAGCTTGAACCGCCAGTACCTTTCCCCGCTTGGAAAACAAATACACGGCGGTTGACACGGGTGCTCCCATGATAAACACCCCTTCGGAACTCCAAAACCACTCCGGTCTTTGTTCTACACGATAAATATCTACACTATCTCTATACTCTTAAAAACTGCAAATGGCCCGACCTGACGCTTCCCAGTGGGCCCAGGGAAAATTGGTGCCGCGCACGCCCAGGAGCAAAGCCCGCCTGGTGGGGGCACGTCGCTTCTGCTGTCCACAAAGGAAAAAAGAAAGAACTGCGTAGCAGCGGGAAGGAGGTGGTACCATGGGAAGGGCGGTCTGCCAATATGAAACGGGACTGTTCCCTGAATGCGCTTTGGAAGATGTGGGCAGGGGCATGGCCTTTCATAGAGGGGCATCGGGGGTGGGGCTGCAAGCCGCCACATGCAGCGAGGGGCAGGCGATCACACAGCACGGCTATGGGTAGCATGGAGGGATGCAGCAGGATGCACCATCCTCTCTCTCTCTCTCTCTCTCTCTCTTCCCCCCCCCCAACACACACACACTGCTCTCGGATGTATATATGCGACGCTCAGGATCAGATACACTCATGGCGAGCCCCCGACCCCACCGTCTCCCTCTCTCTCTCTCTCTCTCTCCTGACTATCACCATCAGATACACTCATAATGGTGGTCGCAGCTCCTCATGAAAACTATGGTTCAGGTGCATTTCGATAAAGGCTGCCTCTGTTCTTGAAGGGCAAGATATAGTTCCTGCTGATGGTTGCAGCTGTTCACGCCCTGGCTTTTTTTTGCTTTTTTTTCCTGGGCCGTGCGTCTCCCTCTCTCTCTCTCTATCTATCTATCTCTCTCTCTCTCTCTCACACACACACACACACACATTTCCTCTCTTCCCCTCTATTGGGCGGCGGCGGCGCCGTGGCAGGTCCACTTGTATAAATAATAGATTATAATCTATTATTTATATACTGTAGATGTGGATTAGATATAGATATTATAATAATTATAAATAAATTTTGTAAATACTAAATATGCATATACATATTTATATTATATCTTATTAGGTATAGTTGGCTTTTAATTAATTGATTGAAGAAATAGAATTACTATTCAATACAATAAATATTCTTTTATCTATCATTTCATTCTGTAAATCTGATTTACCACAATCAAGTATATCCACTGCTTCAAATCACTCTACAAAGAACGGCAGGGTACACAAGCAGGCACACAACGATAGAGGAGTGGCAAGCAGGAAGAGTGTACCTGGTGTTTGCCTGCGCGGATGACACGGATGACGTCCCCACTGAACACCAATTACAAGCAAAGAACAAGTAGAGAACCAAACAAAACAGTTGTCAGCTCTGCTGAACATGCCAAAATGCACAAGACGGGACGCGCATATATCGAAAACGTGGTTGTGGCTCATTCCCTTTGAGGAAAACTTGGGCGTGAACTATTTCGATGTATTTACTATTTAGCGGTTTCTGCAAAGACAATCAAATCCTCACGCGTGAAAGCGCCTTCATCGGATTCAGACGCGAATCGTCTGACACAAAGCGTCTGCTCTTCGAGCCATAATGTTGCTACTGAATACTTCAAAAGATGTTGTCACCAAGGAAAGATACTCCTTTCTACACATGGGTAATATACGCTTTGTCCATACTCAGTGTTAATTCAACTTAATTGTAGGGTTTGTCTCTAAAGTAAAGATTCCAATTCAGATCTCAGTTTCGCTGCTTCTGATCGGGGGCCACAAATTGGTATTAGAAAATCATCTGTGAAGCAGATGTAATGCATCCTTTGGCGGCAGTTCCAATGTGTGGGATTCACACGCAACGTGTCTGCTCTTCAAGCCTTGAAGATCCATCAAAATCAGATGCATATATGTTTCAAATACTTGTTTCATAAACATAGTTTTTCATATACATCACAATAATATTTGCATATGTTGTAAAAATAAAAAACAATACATAGGTATTAGGTAAGAATAGTTCATACTACTTTCATAGACTAAAATAACTAGTTTTTTTCATAAAAGTTTCACTCGTTGTTTAAATAGTTTTTTTCATAAAAGTTTCACTCGTTGTTGAATTATCTCATCTACATTCTATTTTAACTATGGAAAGCACACGCGACACCTTCAGGTCACATGGATAGCTGTGGGAAAAGTTCATCCATTGGACGATTTGTCTAGTTACTAGATAACAGCAACAAATACAAAGCACCATTATCAGCCAATCATACCACCATATTTCCCTCCCAACCTACTTGAAACACGACAATGTTTCACACTGGTCACAATCGCTGCAACAATACGAACAATGAAAAGAGAAGAGCGGGGCAAAGACAACCGAGGACAAACAAGAGTAGGACACTATAGTGCTTCAGATATGAAGAAAGAACAAAAGGAAATCTCTCTCTCTCTC